CATTTTCTTGGAAAAAAAAAAATAACTTGTTCAGTGGCTGTAATTTTAAAGAAGTGAACTGTCAAGCTCTTCTTCCACAGTAATGACTAGAAGATTTAAACTGCCTAACTTTTCATAAATTCATGAAGGCAAACCCGTTCCCCATAAGGAGTATTTATAGGCAACAAAATTGTAAAACAGAAAGTATAGCATCGTAAACTAATAATCAGTAAACTTAGATTCTGTGTCATAAAGTAACTGTCACTAAGTAATGTAATCTTTGGTGATTATCCTCTAGTCTCATATGCCTCATCAACATAGAGTGAAAGTGGAAGGGTCAATTTTATGTTCTATTTTAGAAACTACTTGGTGTATATAAGCCAAGACTTGTACTCAAGAAAATATTATGTAAAATAGTTAATTATGTGAAATGTTACTATTGGTTTTAAAAAAGGAAACTGTATCACATGAAATAATGAAAACTCAAAAATTAAGTTATATATGAGCAAATAATTTTTTTTAATTAGGTATTTTGCAGTTCGTGTTGTTGTTGTTATGTGCTACAGTGTCAGAACTGCCTCACAGGACTCTCTAGAAGGTTTCCAGAGGCATTAAATCACATGGGAGGAGACTGCCTAAGTTTCTCTAGGAGCACCTGGTGTTTAAATCATGCATGTGCCTTTGGGTTGGTAGCACAACTCCTTACTACTAGGCAATCTGAGCTTCCAATTTAAGAACATACAAATAAGAATACTTAAACATGTTAATAAAACCATGACGACAACATAAATCTTTATGACTATATGGCATTATTTTTGGCCTCAAAACTACCATGATATGCACACCCATGTTTATCGTGGCTTTGTTCACAATAGCAAGGAGTTGGAAACAACCTAGGTGCCCATCAGCAAACAAATGGATAGAGAAGCTGTGGTATGTTCACACAATGAAATACTACACTGCATTGGAAAGCAAGGAACTCATGCAATATTATTCAAAATGGGTGAGCCTGGAGGACATTATGCTGAGTGAAGTATCTCAGTTGCAAAAGGATAAATACTGCATGACACCACTGCTGTAAAATGGGACTGATATCAGGGTTGGGGTTAAGACTGAGAAAAACTGGATAAACTGTGTATACTGCACTGAAACAGATGAGAAAGAGAATAATTTAAATGCAATGTATGATAGGGTATTATGGTTATCACAAGAGTCCACAATTAAGGTTGCATAGTGGAATGTACTTGGGGCGGGGGGGATTGTGTACCAGGGAAGGAGTTTTTCTTTTACTTTTCAAAGAGAGGAGTGAATGGGGGAAGGGCAGGGAGGCTGGGCAGGGAGAGAAGTGCAGCAATGAATGAATGGAAATCGAAAATCTCTGAAAATGTTCATTAAAATTATTAAAATAAAAAAAAGAACCTACCATGATTAATGATTTTGTTTCTATTATTTAGAATGTAGGTAACTAGATATGACAGTAGGCACAAGATATGATAGAAAATTAACATTCAATTAGCTGATTCTAAAACTACACAAACTTTAGAAAGGCAAAAAAATTTTTGTACAAACAGCTCTTCTATAAACATGTTCAAAAGTAGCATCCTCAACTGAATATATACAACTGTAAAATGGCTAACTAACATTGCATAGGAGTACAACATTCTCATTTCTGCCCTTTATGAAAAAAATAAATTATAAAGTGTCATATAACTAATTTCAAATTTATTTTTTTTTAATGATATAAACCTCGAGAGAAGTGAAGAGGTCCTAGACAACAAATGACATCCAAAAAATAAATTCCGTAAGCAGTAAAATTATAAAAAAATCTGTAAACAATAACCCTTTTTTCCATGTTCCTCTAACTTACCCATCAAGAGAATACTTTTTAGTAATATTTTATTGAGATTCTTAAAGAATATGAAAAGTGAAACAATTATTCATTATACAAGGCCATAACATTATTGTCAAGCTTCTAAACTGACTTATAGATCAAACCAGATTTGCTTATTTTAAGAATTAAACCTTACTCCCAGAAATTAAGAAGCACAAAATACCAATTCATATTTTTAAACAGGCCATCAAATTTGTCTTTTTTTAAAAAAATTCTTACTGTAATGAAGTCATTCCCTTTAACCATTCTTCCTTGGTAAAAAATCCCATGCTTTCAGCTTCCAATTTCCATGCTAAAACTAACATAATAATCTGGAAAGAACAAAACATAAAGGATAGGGGGAAAGTCAGCAGAAATAATCATGTCTACATTTACTATGGAAAACTATTTTGATCCTTCAACTATTAAACAATACTACAGCTGGAATTATTAATTATAAAGAAACTGAGATAGGCCAATTTCTTAAAGGTACAAAAAAATTTTATGTTTCTGAAAGTAGCACTTCGATGATTCTTATAAATTAATCAAGAAAAAGAACTAGGCAACTTAAATTTATTTGAAAATAAAAAAAAATTTACAATCTTAAGGATGAATAAACTCTTCATACAAGAACTAGTGTCTCAATTTTTAGAAATGTACAAATATGTTACACCCCACCTGAATTCCAGTTCTACTTAAATAAAACATACATTTTCAGGTTCAACACCAATGTCTTCACAAAACTTTTCCATTCCTTCTGGCCCTACAACTTCATCAGGACCTTCAAAGACAAAAGTAATTTGAGTATTTTATTGTGATTACTTATTATCAAAATAAAACATAAACAATAACACTACTAAAGGCATCTATAACTATATCACAATAATTTATAAATAACTAAATTTGCAATATGAAATGGTTTTAATAATAGTATAAAAATTTACTATAGGAATTAAAATAAAATTTTAAAAGTACTCTTTGAACAGAAATTCATAACACAAAATTATAAATAAAAAAATACTCCAATAATATCAATTACTATTGTTCATGCAATAAAATGACTCTAGCTATTAAAAAAATTACTAAGAGTCTACTTCGAATAAAGTTTTCCCACTGTAAGAACAAAAAACTTCTTATTTTACCACAATGTGAAACACCAGAATATTCAATAGATATTTACTTCCTAAAATAGGTCATTCATTATCCTTTGAAGTATTTTTAAATTCTTGAAAATTATATATGTATAAATTAAAACAACGAGTAAAACAAATTATTACACTCTAATTCAAAGGAGACATTTTTCTTATCATTTTCAGTTCTAAAAAGACAGCAAAAGTATTAGTTTAATCTCTAAACTAATTTATCTGAAAATGAAAAAATTGTACTTAGCACATTTATACCAGTATTCATAGCTCTAAATTTAACATTACATAATTTTAAATATTTTTTATCAAATTTCTCAAATACATCAGCATCAAATCTCTTTGTGACTGCATAAAACAAATTTTATATGAAATATGATAGATGTTTTACCACTCTTTTAAAGAATAGTCAGTTTAAAATATTACAATTAAAAGTAGCCAAGAGAGGCCTGCTTTCCTTTCTTAAGAGCTAAAAATGCTCTAGTTTCATAAATCATAAACTATACTAAGAGTGCTCAGATGGGATTTATAGTCTTTCTTAGGTACACTAGGACAACATGTAGAAGGTGTTTAAAGGTTTTTTAAACAAAATGCAGCCATTCAGTGTGGAAATTAATCTATCTTTCTGTTTGAAATATGAACCAAAATGCCAGAGGAAGTTAAGAAATCGTCTGAAACAAAAATCTTTTTAAACTTTTGGCGTGAAAAAGGGTGTCATTAGGTTGAAATATGTATGTATTAATAATACACGGAGGTTTTAAAAGGTAAAGAAGATGGTCATTACAGGAGATTGTCACTGCCTAGTATACTGTAGGGATTTATTTTTCTTTTAGAAATTATACAATAAAGCTATTTTCGAAAGAAATATACATATCTTCTGTTACTTAGAATTTCTGAAATGTGACTTAGAATGGAATAAAAATAAAGTTTAATAGAGGAAAATAAGGTTGTTTTTATGATATGATAGATGTATGTACTCAATTTTTCACCCTAATACAGTAAGAAAACAAATGTATGTGTCTTCAATGCTGCCTTTACTGGTTGGAAAACAAAGTATAGTTATGCCAAGAAATGTTACTGTCATGAAATTTAGCACCCTCTAGAAAATGAGAAATATCCATTTTAATTATTTTATTAAGATCAAGTTTAATTATATAAAGGCATTTGGGAGCTCTGGTGGCTTAGTGGTAAAGAATTGCACTGCCAATCCAAAAACAAATGGTTCATAACCACTGTCCTGACTTATCTGTTTGCGAATGTTCAAAACGTGTATTTCATAGAAATATTTCACTATTGGTATATGTTCAATATGTTGTTAATCTGATTTCAAACCAAACCCACTGCCATTGAGTACCTTGGTTACTCAATGTAGGAAGCAGAGCTCTTGTGGCCTAGTGGCAATCCCGAAGTCACAGGGTTCGAGGACACCAGCTGGCTCAGCAGGGGAAGGATGGACAATATCCTTCCATCTGATTAACTGCCTTTGAAAACTCCTTATAGGGTCAGCTATGGGTTGGTTCTGACTCTAGGGTACACTACGATGTGTAAGAAATAGTGGGAGGTTGTTACTTGCTAATTATTTTAACCAATTTTATGCTATGAAGGAAAGTCTGGAGAAGAAATAAAAATAAATATGAAAGAATGTATTAATTACTTTTACAGCATTTAGTAACCTTTACACATGAACTGACTTAAGCGATCTTTTAATTCTACATCATACATACCAGTAAAACCAGCATTGTAAATAATGGGTCAACATTTTAAATGGAGGTCAATAGGAAAATGAATTTCCTTCATTTAAACTGGGTTAGTGGTTGCCTTGGGATGCCAGTAATAGCATTTTTTTTGTCTAGAAATAATCTTTGTTCTGCTACTAAATAATTTTTAAGTTATACTTTTGAGATTACTCAGTTGATTATGAAAGTTACTGTCCTTCTAAATAGTCTCATTTGCTGCATAAAAAAAAAACCTTCAAACTCATTGCCATAAAGATGGAACGGATTCATAACTGATCCTCCAGCAAGTTTTCAGAGACTATAAATCGCATGAGAGGAGACTGTGCATTTTTCCCATCGAGTTGTTGGTAGATGGCAGTGCAACTTCTTAACCACTAGGTCATCAGCTACCTGTTGTCAGGTACTGTCAAATCAAGTATGACTCATAGCAACTCTATGAACAGTAGATCTAAATCCTGTGCTATCGTCACGCACTTGAGCCCACTGCTGCAGTCACTGTGTCAATCCATGTGGCTGAGGGTCTTTTTCTCTTTCACCCTCTCTCTACCTTTCCAAGCATGATGTCCATCTCTAAGGAACAGCCTTTCCTAGCAACATGCTCAAAGTACTCTGAGACAAAACTTTATTATCTGCCTCTAAGGAGCACTCTGGCTGCACCTTGTCCAAGATATCCTTGTTCTCTTGGCAATCCATGGGTATTAGTACTTCTCCAGCACCACAACTCAAAAGGATCAATAATTCTTCTGTCATCCTTATTCACTATCCAGTTCTCAGATGCACAACTGATTGAAAAGACCATGGCCTGAAGCAGGCATACTTTAGTCCTCAAATTGCCCCATTGCTCCTCAGTAATTAACTGCCCTGTAGCTATATACCGCTTCTAAGAAGTTAAAGTTGAACTTCAAATTCAGTATATCTGAACTTGGAATAGTATTAAATATAAGATAATGATTATATAGATATATAGTTTTATCTTAAATAAAGACTGAGAATTCTTGTGATAAAAACAAATTAAAAATAAGGAGGCATGTTAAGAGAAAAACAAGGAAAGGGAGTGCTTGTTTCAGGAAAGTTAGCTTCTGTTGTCATTAGACACCATAGTGTGTCAACTGCAACTCATAATGACCATACAAACAACAGCTGTGAACCTTCTTCTATCCCGCACCATCCTCACAAATCTCCAACAGGCCAGCACCCAGGATGCAGTCACTGTGTCAATCGATCTTGTTGAGAGTATTCCTCTCCTCTTACTCTCCACTTTTCCCAGCAAGATGTCATTTTCCAAGGACTGGTCCATCCTGATCACATGCCAACATATGTGAGATGAAGTTTTACCATCTCCATCCTCTAAGAAATCCTCTGCTTGCACTTCTACTAAGACAGACTTGTTTACTCTTTTGGCATTCCATGAGATTTTCAGTACTAAAATCACTAACTCAAACAGACTAAAACCCACAATCAGAGTAAGGGAACAACAACAAAATCCGTACCGAAAAAAGTAGTAAATGGGAAAGAAATGTTCTTTTTCTTATGCTTACTTAACTCTTCAACTAGGTTTTGATTTCTACCTGTGTGCTGCAGTACCACCTCAGCCCTGTAGCTTTTCTTCCACCTTTACACTTAAGTAACTTCCTCTCAGAAGACTTCTGATGCTTAAGTTATATAATCCTTCTAGTAATCCTTACAGAGCATCTTCCTAGTGATTATCATGTATTTACAATAGGCTGCTTAGGTCTTCATTTATTATTTTATTTCCAGGAGAACTGAATGGATGAATACCAAGCATGAAGAAGGTAAAAAGCACTGTGTAATGATTTACCTGCATTTTAAAATATTATGTCTCCCAAAATATTTCAGAAAATGTTAGACAGATTTTGTTGTTGTTCTTGTAAGATATTATCCAGTTGATCATGACTCACAGTGTTCTATGAGCAATAAATCTGAGTCTGGTCCCATCCTACATCATCCTCATGATCTCTGATATACTCAGATTCACTGTTAACAGTTACTATGTCAATGCTAAAGGTTGTCCCTTCCTTCTCTGACCCTCCACTTCTCCCAGCATGCTCTTTTTTCAAGGGCTGGCCCCTCCTGACAACATATCCAAAGTACGTGAGAACAAGTTTCACCATCTTTGCCCCTAAGGAACATCCTAGTTGCACTTACTCTAAGACTAATTCAGAAACATTTCAAAAGAATATTGAGTAGAAAAGAATCTTATCAAGTAGAAAATGTGTTATATCTACTTTGTGTTTTATAATGAACCCTGATGGTACAGCAGTAAAAGGTCCCAGCTGCTAACCATTAGGTTGGGAAGCTGAAATTCACCAGCTGCTCCTTAGAAGAACAATGAAGCAGGTGGCAGTTTGCTTTTGCAAGGATTTACTGCCTTAGAAACTCCACAGAACAGTTTTGCTCTGTTCAAGGTCGCTGAGAGTTAGAACTGACACGATAGAAATGGGTATGGTTTAGGGGTTGTTTTTCAGAACACCAATTCTACTGTACCCAACGGTAGAAACTGTTTCATTTGCAGCTGTTTATAAATGGCATTACTCAATTTTACCCTCTCAGTAGTTTCTAAGGCTGTAAAGTGCATGCAAGGAGGCTGTCCATCTTTTTTCTGTGGGGTCACCAATGGATTCAAACCAAAAGAATTGTGTGGCCTTTGGGTTAGTAGCTGGTTAAGACACCAAAGTTCCCTTTGCCTCTCCTACACAATTTAGAGACATATTAGTTTGAAAAGGCACCAAATTCTTAGCTTAACTACAACTTCTAGTCTTGACTCTCATTCTAGCACAGAGCACTAACACATACCAATTCTACAATAAAGAATTTCTTATAAGAATGAACCCAAAAAATCTTTTAAGATATGTAACTAGTATCCTGTCACATTATTCATTACCTGCATACTCATAAAACCAAGCCAGGCACTTCTTGCTTGAAAAATGTTCCTCTCCACTTATTAGTCTAGCAGGAGGTTGAGGTCTGCAATAGCTTAGAAAACACACAAATAAATGTTTAAGATTTTTATCAGGTCTCAATTCTTAGCAAAAATTCCTAGTTCAGGAGGAACCAATTTAATTTAAACTATATATACGCATATCTACATTTGGCATTATAGGAAAGGGAAAAAAGAGTTAAGTATTTGCAATTTTAGGCCAGGAAGAATTTCTGGCTAACACAAATGTGATTTGCAAATCTATCAATTAATATTATGACCCTATATTTCAAGGAGTACAAAGAGGCTAATGGTCACAGTAAAAGACTGATAGTTGGGAAGGTATAGATTTTTTTTTATCTGATACGATTTGCATGAAAATTCTCTTGTTATGTAACAGACAAATGTCAAACACTTTGAAAACAGTATGTTACAAAGTCTACCTTGATAATTAATCAAGCATTTTAAAAGGGTGAGTCATCTTCTAAGCCAAAAGATTTTTTTAAAATAAAACATTTAGAGTCTCAAAATTAGAGTTTAGAGAACTAAAAGACATTTGTCTACGAAGAACTCCATTCTCCAATGGCTTCTAGGATTTAATGGACTTCTGAGAACCATTTCATAAGGAGCTCAATTACACTATCACAATAATAAAGAAATACTAGAACTTTTGTAATTAAGTACTGTAATATCAAATATATGTACCATATTTTAAAAATGTAAATAAATGTATTTATTTTTTCCTCAAATGAATCAGGTCCAGGTAACTCAAGGAATTGTTGATTTATCACTGCAGCTTGCTAACAGGCAAAAATTACCCCATTTTGAATATTTGAAAATGTCATTTTCTAAATAAGATGGCCATGTGTTAAGAGTTAAAAGAAAAATGAATTTGCATATTTCCTTATAAATATAAGCTAGCTAATAAAGTAACATGTCACATCCCAGATGCAATATCAAGAAACATTAAAGGGAAAAAAGCATTTCCTATTAATAGCTTAGCTCTTAGGTTCTGTAGCCAAAACAGTAATATTAAAAATTCAACCAAAAAAGGATGATGCTAAGTAAGTCATCTAACTTACATTTTAAACAGATGTCTCTTTAAAGAGAGCTTTATCTTTTCTCATTACAAGGATAGTTATTGTCTTTTAGTGCTAATGCCTTAAGTTGCCACACTTAATCCATCATTGATAAGTCCAAGACCCACAATACGTAATTTTTACGTATCACCTATACAGTAACGACTTTTGCAGTATGCAAGGTTGCTGTGATCCCTACAACCGGCTCAGAAAGCTATATGACTTTAATGGTTCTGTCGTCATTATCTCCAAGAGGAAAGAGCATAGGATAATTTCAAATTATTACTAATATTTATATTGATAGCTACAGTGCCTTATATGCTAGAAAAAACAAAGGACATGCAGAATCTTTCCAGCTCTATACACTAGGGTTTGGCATAGGTGGAGGCACGGATACCGGAGCATGGGGCTCTTAACCATTAAAAAAGCCTCCCTCTAAGATCGTTGGGGTAGGCCCACGACAATTATTCAATCTGGTGGCCAATTACAGCATGGACACTTTTCCTGTCTCCATTCTCTAGGCAGTTGTCAACATTCTTCAATCAGGGCTGCTTTTCTTGCATGCTTTGTAAAGAAATTCCATAATGGCCCTTCCAAGGATCTGTATCCTCTTCCAGGTCTGGTAAAGAAAGTGGGAGGGATTAAAGAAGCAAGGCTTCCAGGGGAGAAGGCAATTCACGTCCGCATCCCACGTCTCACCCTCCCAGGAAGGGAGGTTCACTGGCCCTGCAGGAGCTCCAGGGCACAGAAGCGCAGACACGAGGTCGGCGCAGACTTACGGTTCTCCGCACCTACCACCCCGGCAGAGGCCTCCCTTCTCCACCGCACGAGCCCCGAGGGTCTCCCCGCATGGAGGAAGGGGAGCTCGAGTGGTGGGGAGCGGGAAAACGTGGTACCTGGAAATTTTACACTTCTTAAGGCTTCCGTCTTCCGCTACTGCCGCTGCCACCCCGGGGGATTTTCTCTTCTTCTTCACCGGCATCTTCCGCCCTCCCCGGCAGGGCGGACAGGAGAGCCGGGGTAAGGGGTCGCCGTCCACAGGAGGCCCTTCAGCGCTAGCACCCCGTTCCCAGAAACAGCAGCAGATAGAACAGCAGAACGTCCAGGCGGCACCGGCGTGGCCCAGTCCGGCTGCTCCTCACTGCCCGGTCTCCTCGCCGCCCTTCTCTGCCTGGGGCACTGGTGGGACCTCTCCTGTAGGCGGCACGGGTCCTTTTCGTAGGGAGGCAGCGCGGATAGCGCGGCACCTCACCACCCATAGACTCAAAGAGCAAGCGACTTCATTTAACCCGGATGCGAAACCCCCAGAGACGGAAGTGACCCTAACGCAAAGCCGGTTGCGGGGAGGGGCGTGGTCCTTGCTCACTTTAATTTGTGTTCCGCTTGTGCTAGTACCTTGGGGTCCGTTTTGGCAGAATGGTCGTCTTTGATTGTACCTTTCCGTGCAGTTCCTTCACATCGCCACATTGATAAGTCTTCACCAAGAAATACTTTATGAAATTAACACCTTGCGTTGGCGTTAAAAATAGCGTAGTGAGGTGGACCATAACGTAGTGAAGAGGACCATCTTTCAGTTCTGACCTACTCCACAGGGTAACTTCACCTTAAATGTTCTTAACCTCCTAGAGGCACGCAATATGTTGTCCTTGCTTTCTTAAGGTACTGACCTTGTTATTCAGAAATTCCTTTCTTTTTTCACCCCATAGTCTTTGACAGCATCTTATTTTAAATGCAACTATTTCTGTTTGTTCATATCTCAATGCTAGTAAATGGAGCTCTAGTTGCTTAGTGGTAAAGAGTTGTGCCATCGCGAAGATTCAAGTCGACCAGCTACTCCGAAAGTTGGGTAAGGCTAATAAGTAGCTCATTAAAAAAAAAAAAAAAACAACCCACACACACACACAAAACCTTAGTATTAAAGTTGATTCCAATTTATATCCACTCTTTATTGGTGTTCTAGATTTCATGGCTGTAAATCTTTATGGGGGGAAAAGCTGATGGTTCCAAACAGGATTTTTCAAGAGATAACCCAACCAAGAGTTGGCCTAAGAGGCCACTGAGCCATTTAATACTCAGAAACACTAGATTTTGCCACCTCCACTTCTGTGGAAACATTGTTTATGATAAGTGTATGTAAATGCTTTACAGTAGAAACTTGTTTTAGTCAATGTTATTATTAGGGGCTGTAGAATCAACTTACATTCATAGCGACCCTGTGAACAACAGCCCTGTTATGTACTGTCCTCATGATCTCTGCTATACTCAGGCCCATTATTACAGTCACTATGTCAGTCCACCTCTTTGAAAGTCTTCTCTTTCTTTGACCCTCTCATATTAATAGCACGTCTTTTTCCTAGGACTGGCCCTTCTTGACAACATACTCCAAATACAGTAGGCGAAGTTTCACCATCTTTGCCTCTAAGCGCTCTGCTTGCACTTCCTGCAACACAGACTTGTTTGGTTTTTGGCAATCCATATCTTTATGGATTTTATAAAGATATTCATATCTTTACCAACACCACAATTCAAAGGCATCAATGCTTCTAGTCTTCTTTATCCATTGTCCAACTTTCTGGTGCATAGGAAGCAAGTGAAAAGACCATTGCTTGAATCAACACATCTTAGTCTTTAAACTGATATCCTTGTTTTTCAGCACTTTAAAAAGATTTTTCACAGATTTTTCCTATGCAACACAACTTTTTGATTATAAGGAAACATCTTTCATGATCAATAAAACATAAGAAAACTTTTTTAAGGCAATATAGATGTAAAAAACGGGTGAAAGATGGCCAATCTCATAATTTAAAGTTTCTAAGAACTTGCTGGAGGGTCACCTATGAATAAGTTTTGACTCGAAAGCAGTGCTTTCTTTTTTTACTATTAGGCACCATCATGGGACAGTAAAACTGTCTCACAGCATTTTCTAGGTTATATTTACATGGTACAGATCTGTCGTTCACAGGAAGGATTGCTATGAGTTATACTCATCCCCTCAATGGCACCTAACAATGACAATATTTACTGGAATAGATCATCAAGTCTTTCTCCTGAAAGGCATAAAAACACTGATTTACTGATGTCAAATCCACTGATCAGGACTCAGTGGAAGGTGACTGCCCTTCTTATAGGGAACTGCTGGGTACATTAGCACCTCCAAAGACTAACTTCAGCTAAGTATTGGCTAAGCCACCAACAAGGTGGGTTAAAACTAACCTTTCCCTCATGGACAGCTGACCATCTCATCAGATTCAGTAATAGCCAATAGAGTTAAGATGAAACTGCCTCTACTTTTGTAAACTAATCTAGCCAGTCAAAATATTGTATTTCCTTAGTGCCTATAATTGTTTTAAGGCGAACAAACACATACTCCAAACCAATCAAGGCTAATGATGCTAAGAGGCAACATCAAGAAGTAACTTAGTTTCCTCTTATGAACCTGAGGGGATATAGAGAATTCAGGCAAAACTCATAATAGTAATTAACTGGATGATTTACATCACCTCCCAGAGGAAGAGATTAGTAAAGTAAGAATATAATTTTTTTAAGAATAACCATGGTCAAGAGACCATGCTGAGGCAGGAAAGGGCCATAAAACTAACTACAGATCATTCATTGACCCATTGACAATTGAAGGGGAACATTATTGATAGGAGAGTTTGAAATTAACTCTCCTTCATTGCAGTTAAAGCACCCAATCACTGACGTCCACAGGCTGGGGCTGAGAGTTAAAATAGCTCTGTTGTTATGTGCTGTCGAGTCACTTGTGAATTATAACGATCCTACATACAAGAGCCCTAAATCCTGCTCTATTCTGTGCCAACCTCACCATCTCTGACACACCTACTCCCATTTTTCCAATCACTGAATCAATGCATATCATTGAGGGTCTTCCTCTCTTCCACTGTCCCTCCACCCTCCCAAGCATGATGTCCCTCTCCAAGGACTGGTCCCTCCTTGTAACATGCCCAAAGTATGCCAGATGAAGCTTCAGAATCCTTGCCTCCAAATAGCTCTAGGGTTGTAAAAAGTTAGTGGATTCTGATCCTGGCCCACTTCATCACTTCAATGCAGGTAACACGCCCAAGATGGATGTCAGATGACACTCTGAATATTGCACTAGAGCGCCAAGAAGCCAAAGCAAAGGCAAGAAATTAAGGAGACGAACAGAAGATTTCAAAGGACAACTCGGGAAGACAAAACAAAGTATTATAATGAAATGTGCAAAGAGCTGGAGTCAGAAAATCAAAAAGACTGAACTAACTCGCTCAGCATTTCTTAAGCTGAAGAAACTGAAGAACAAATTCAAGCCAGAGTTGCAATACTTAAGGATGCTTTGGGCAGAGTACTAAATGACATAAGAAGCATTAAAAGAAGATGGAGTACACAGAGTCACTGTACCAAAAAGAATTGGCTGGCACAGAAGAATTTCATGAAACAACGTATGAGTAAGAGCCTGTGGTGATGAAGGAAGCTTCTCTGAAAGAACTGGCGAAAAGCAAGACTCCAGGAATTGACAGCATACCAACAGACATATTTCAACAAAGAGACACTGCCCTGGAGGCATTCAATTCACTAAGTTGTGCCAAGAAATCTGGAGGACAACCACCTGGCCAATTGACTGGAAAATATCTATATTTGTTCCCATTCCAAAAAAAGGTGACCGGACAGAGTGCAGACATTATAAAACAATATCATTAATATCACATGCAAGCAAAAATATGCTGAAAAATTATCCAAAACTGACTGGAGCAGTACATCAACAGAAAACTGCCATGGTACTAGGGAAATTGTAGCTAATGTTAGAGGGATCTTTTCTAGAAACAGAGAGTACCAGAGGAATGTCTATCTGTGTTTCATTGACTGTACAACAACATTTGACTGTATAGACCACAACAAACTGCGGCTGGAGAAGAATGGGAATCCCAGCACATTTGATCATGCTTATGCAAAACCTATACTTGGACCAGGAGACAGTGGTCAGAACAGAGCAAGGAGACACTGCATGGTTCAAAATTGGAAAGGGTGTCTGCCAGTGATGTATTATGTCTTCATACCTTTTCAACTATATGGCGAACATACTATCTGGTAGGCTGGGCTGTATGAGGAAGAATGTGGCATCAACAACCTGTGTTATGCAGGTGACATAACCCTACTTGCTGAAACTGAAGAGGACCTGAAGTGCTTATTGCAGAAGATCAAGGACTACCGCCTTCAATATGGGTTGAAGCTCAACATCAAGAAAACAAAGACTCTCACTGACTGGCAGCATTCTAAAACACAGTGAAGAGACTGATATTTTTAATAGCTTTAGTTTGCTTGACTCCACAATCAACACTCTTGATACCAACAGCTAGGAAATCAAGAGACAAATTACATTGGGAAAGTCAGCTGTCAGGGACCTCTCCAGAGTACTAAAGAGCAACAGCATCAGTCCAGAGACTAAGATAAACCTGATCCAGGCCATAGTTTGCTTGTTATGCATCAGAGAGATGGACAACTACTAGGGTTGATAGATAGAATTGATGCCTTTGAGCTGTATTGCTGGAGAAGAGTGTTGAATATACCATGGACTGCTAAGATAACAAACAGGTCTGTCCTGGAGAGGGGGAAGCCAGGCTGCTTCTTGGAGGCAAGGATTCTGAGGCTTTGTCTGCCATACTTTGGGCATGTTGTAAGAAGGGACAGGTCCTTGGAGAGGGATGGAAAAGATAGGAAGACCATTGATGAGATGAATTGATACAGTGACTCGGGTAATGAGGGTAGTAGGTGAGTCAGAGACAGTAAAGTTGGCATAGGATAGAGCAGGTTTCAGGGCTGTTGAACATAGTGTCTCTAGGAGTCACAAACAACTCAATGGCACATAACAACACCAAACAGGTGGATATTAGAGAGCTCTGGTGGCCTAGTGGCATGAAGCTACACTGCAATCCTTAAGGTATGTAGTTCCAGGCCACCAACTGCTCCACAGGAGAAGGATGGGCA